TTGTTTTTTTCCTCCAAGTTGGTGCTCTGACCCTGATTTACCAAAGCTTGCTCTTAGAGCACAAAATGTCAGACAGGGCTTAATTTGTAAACTGACCCATGCTGGAACACAAATAGTGGGAGGGCTACCGTGGTGAGAGGGGGTCTGGGGGTCCTTCCCCAGAAAATTTTGAATAAAGTAAATGTGATTTCCTACATTTTGGTGTATTTTAACATGTTGTTAAACATCTGCGTTTATCTATATTTTGCAAACACTCCACTTCTGTCAAGCATCCTTCCCCTCCTCCCCCATACTTGATGGTTCTGAGCCCGACACTGTCCCTGCTCGTCGTTGTCCGACTCCACATGTGAAACCTCCAGGCGTCTCCTCCGTCTGTTCATTGTGGCTGCCTGTGGGCTCCTGCCCGCGTACGACTATGGAAGTCACCATATATAACTGCCTGGTAAGCTTGGCACTCACCCCCACCACTCTTTTAGGGGCTGAGATTTTTTAAGGGTAAACTTGGAAATACTTCTTCAAGGGGCAGCTCGTATGCTCGTAAGTGGCTGTTGTGTTTAAAATTAGTGTTTGTGTAATTATCTTCAGTTTATATATCCAATATAACTTTTATTTGTTCAAGGCAGTCATATTTGTTCATAACTTTATTATTAGTAAGCCTGAGAGTTACCAGATCCAAGCAAACGGTTACCGGAATACACCCTGTCAAAATAAGAATTCCCAGATCCTGTTCTGGCAGGAGCTGGCTCAAATTAAGCACTGATGTCATCTTTCTTGTGAGGAAGGAGTCTAAAATTGTGTGTGAGGATGAATTATGTGCTAGTTACAGTTTGTCTATAACAAACACCAAGTTTGAACATATGGGTATATTTATGCACAAGACACAAGGATACCCTAGGCCACAGATCAATGACTGACTTTGTAGTCATGTCATCTGATCTCTAATTGTATACTTGTTTTACCCAATTTTATGAAGAGCTGAGCTTTGAACTGTGAACTGATCACCGCCTGGTGATGAGTTGGATCAGATGGCGGGTAAGATGCTGGACAGACCAGGTAGACCCAAATTTGAAGGTTTGCTGAAAACCCCTGGCAGAAGAACCTGTCCATAGCATTTTCAACCCCCACCTCTGAGAGAGCTTCAACCGCTTCTCAGTAAAGGCTGGGGACAGTAAATTCAAGTGGGCTATGTTCCACACCTCCAATGTCAAGGAAAGCTGCCTTAAAATGTGTCAATAAGGTTGTCGGTGCTCATCTTGATGGCCATTCGTGAGCCCAGTGGACACCCCAGGTGAAGGAAGTCATCAAGCTAAAGGAGGAGTCCAGACAGATTAGCAGGTAGGACTCCTAAGCCAGCTGAGTAGTATCATCAGGCAAATCAGGCTTCAGCCCTGGCTGTTGCTGAGGCAAAGGCTTGGATGTGAGAGTTCAGTGAGGCCTTGGATAGAGACTCTTGATTGACTCCAAGAAGATTCTGGTAAATCATTAGGTGGATAAGGCAGGGAAAGTAGCACTTTATCAACACTGTGTATAGTGGAGGTGGGGAGCTGTTGACCTCAACCAGTGACATCATTGGGAAGTGAAAAGAATACTTTGCAGACCTCTTGGTTGACAAGCCTTTGCAACATCTCATGGACATTGGGGCAGAGCCACTGGGTTGGCAGACTGGTGTGGTGGTTCCCCTCTTCAAAAAGGTGGACTGGAAGATATGTTCTAATTATAGGGGCATCACTCTCATCATCCTCTGGCAAGGTCTATTCAGGGGTGCTGGAGAAGAGAGTCCAGTCCATGGGGGAACTTCAGATTCAGGAGGAACAATGTTTTGGCTGTGGAAAACTGAACTTTACCCTCACTTGTGCCCTTTGACAGGGCAGTTTGCAAACTCTTACAATGTGAGTTCTCTTCACATTGCCAGCAGTAATTTGGACTCCATCAGCATGGGAGTTGGACTCTGCCAGGGCTTCCTGTTGTCACAGATTCTGTTCATAACTTTAATTTTCTCAGTGCAGTCAGGTGGTGGAAAGTGGCCTTAGGATTCCATCTCTGCTATTTGCAGAAATTGTGGTCCTGTTGGCTTCATTGCGCCATGATCTCCAGCTCTCACTGGAGCTGCTCACAGCCAAGTGTGAAGTGGCATAGATAAGGATCAGCACCTCCAAATCTGAGGCCATGGTCCTCCGTTGATAAAGAATGGATTGCATTCTCCAGGTTGGGGTGAGGTGCTGCCTCAAGTGGAGGAGTTTAATTACAGTCACGTCAACAAACTGTTTGATACAGCTTCTACAGCATCGCTTACTCTGTGCCAGTCCATTGTGATTAAGAATGAACTGAGCTGCAAGGTAAAGTTTGCTGTTTATGGTTTGTCTATGTTTGTCCCCTCATCTATGGTCATAAACTGGGCAGTGACCAAAAAAACACTTTTGTGAATACAAGCTGTCAAAACTAGTTTTCTCCACAGGGTGAGAAATTCAGTTTTCCAAGAAAGACTGAGATTAAATATTCTACTCTTCAAATTGAGAGAAGCCAGTTGAGATGGTTTAGTCATCTGGTTATGATGAACGTCTCCCTTGGGAGGCGTTCAGGCATGTCCAAACCCAGGACACGGCAGAGACGGTCTTTCAGCTGGCCTGGGAATGCCTTGGAATACTCCCAGAAGAGCTGGAAGAGGTGGCTATGGAAAATGTCTTGGCTTTCCTGCTCAAGCTGCTGCCCCCATGACCGGACTTTGGAACAAGCAGAAGACAATGGATGTATGGTGTGGGACTTAAAACTTGTCATGCAACCAGCATTGCTGGGAAGTTTGGTATCATTCTGGATTGAACTTTTAAGTATCCATCAAAGGACTAGCCATCAATCCATTTTCTGTACCTACTTTTTTTTCCCATTTTGGGTCATGGGGAGCTGTTATCCATCTCTAACAATCACTCAGAGGCAGGGTACACTTTGAATAAGTTGCAAGTTCTCCACAGAGACATATAGAATCAAATGTTCACACTCACTCACACCTAGAGATGACGGTAATTTAGAATTACCAATGAACTTAACATGCATGTTTTTGGTCTGTGGGAAGAAACTGAAAATTCCAGAGATGACATGCCATCTCCATTCAGAAATGCTGGAAGGTGAACCTGCAACCTTTTTGCTGTGAGACACCATCACTTACCACTGTTCCACCATGTTCCCCAATTGGAGCACATGACACAGTATATGCAATCTTTGAAGTACATCTACTACTGATTACCTTTTGGAAACAATCAAAATCAGTATGTCTGGCACAGTTTTTTTTTACGATTACACAAATGACAATACTTTAGTTTTACAAGCATTGAGCTGAAACATGATGTGGTAGTACCTGAGAGTCATTCAAATTTGCTCTGACCAAAACATTTAGCTATGTCGCCTATAATATCAAATTTATGGGGGAATCAAGGAATGATGAGACTTTCATTTGGAAATGTTTTTGTAAACATTTTTCTAAAGGGCCAAAATTGTTACTGTGGAAATAGTAATGATCAGGGGGTCTACAACTTATATGATTATTTGATTTATTTTCAGTTTAGTTACAAAAATTTAGTGCCATTTATCCATCCATTCAGCCATCATTATCTTTACCCACTTCTTCCTTTTGAGGTCGCGGGGTTCACTAGTGCTCAGGTCCAGCTATCACTAGGCAAGTGGCGGGGTACATCTTGGAAAGGTCTCTGGTCCATCACAGGGACGCATAGAGACAAACGAGACAAACAACCATTCACTCTCTCACTCTCACCTAGGGACAATTTAGATTTACCAATCTGTCTAACTCGCATGTTTTTGGTCCATCCATCCATCCATCCATCCATCCATCCATCCATCCATTATCTTTACCCGCTTCTTCCATTTTGGGTCACGGGGGTCGCCGGTGCCCATGCCCATGCCCAGCAATCACTGTGCGAGGGGTGGGATACACCCTGGACGGGTCGCAAGTCCATCACAGGGCCACATATAGACAAACGAGACAAACAACCATTCACTCTCTCACTCACACCTAGGGACAATTTAGAGTTACCAATCAGCCTAACATGCATGTTTTTGGTCCTGTGGGAGGAAACTGGAGTACCTGGAGAAAACGCACTCATGCACAGAGAAAACATGCAAACTCCACCAAGAAAGGTCCCGGGCCCAAATTTGAACCTTCGGTCTTCTCGCTGAGAGGCAACAGCTCTACCAACTGAGCTACTGTGCTGCCCTTAGTGCCATCATTGATTTTAAAATCATTAAGACCATCTAGCAACACTTTCATCAAGGGTTTGTTTTTAGGGGAAAGCTATGTGGGATATCAATAGAATAAAATATCACAAATTATGAATAACAAAAAATGTTTTTCCTTTGGTCTTGGAGGTTACATGAAATGAAGAAGATCAATATATATATAAACCTTTTAATGACACCATTGTTGTAAACAGCTACATTTAAAAATGTATCCTTGCAAACCAAATAGCTTGAGGCATGCAGTTTTACAACAACAAAAAATAAAAAAACTAAGATTCTAGATTCCTTCAGAAGCATGGTTTCTAATCACCTGCTAAATATAAGAGCCAGAAACAAAATAATCCTCACTGTGGACATTCAGATGTCCTGAGACATAAGATTAAAGCACCGGGCCCCATTCTGCAGATGCCACTCTCTCCTTCACACAAACACAAGTGTTATTTCAGCCGTTGGTGCAACCACATGCAGAGTGGGTCACACAGCTTCTGCACACTCTGCCTCATCTCTTAATTGGTGTCCCAGTGACCTGCTTTTATCCCCCTCTGGTTTGCACAGAGCAGTTTTAGTACTAAACAAGAAGCCATCCCCCAAATTCTACCAATGTTTTAGTGTTTTACACTAAAATTAGGAACCTGTCGCAGCATGAATTCAGACACAGAAAGTGTTTGTGCATAACACAACTTTATTCACAGCCACATTGTACAATTACCTATGATTAATTTCATCACATTAAGGCAATAAAAGCTGTTGCCTGTTCAAAAATAAAGCATTTCTAAATGTTGCAGTGCATTTTAGCAGTGTGTTACATGAAGAGGAAAAGCAAGACAAGGTGAAAAATTGGTTCTTGAGAGATAAAAGGATGAAAGTGAAGTCAGACGAAAGGCAGCTATCGGGAGATGGAGTCAGGACTGGGCGCTTCCTTACTTTTGGTGCATGACAGGTCTGAGAAACAGGAGGAGGAAATGGAAAGATCATGCAGAGTCACATAGGGAAGAGAGACAAGAGGATGTGACAGAGTTAGTCTTTTTTGTCTTTACTCATGAAAATAAACAGTAAATGTTATCAAAGGTTAACATGTGTGAAGAAGTACTGCAGTCTTATTTTGTGGTGTCCCGATATTAGATTTTTACCCCTCTAAACAGTTTGCGATTAAAATTTTGGAGTGCTGGTCTGATACCAAGGGGGCTCTCAGCAATAACTCTACACTGCTCAGTTCATGCCAAGAGACCAGTTTGAACTCCCTTAAACTGAAATGGGAAATGGACTTGGAGGAATCCATATCAGACTCAATCTGACAAAAGATCATTAAAAACAAAGGTTGTAAGCTCAGTCATCCAGGTAGATGGCAACAAAAAAGGTTAAATCGTGTCTTCTGGAAAAGAAACAGGTCTAGGTGACATGATTTAACCTTTTTTGTTCTTATCTACCTGGATGATGGAGCGTACAACCCTTTTTCTGAACCAATTTGGCCTTGGTTGTCCTCAGGCTGTTTCTTGTAAGTTGACCATCTGGCCTAAAACATTTGATTGTTGTACATGATGAATGATTGTCTTTTGGATGGGTGTGCTTTGCACATCTAAAAAGCCTACTTTTGAGTTTCCAACAGGAAGTTGGCTTGAAACACATCAGTGAAGGCTACCTATAGGACATATCTGGTTGGCAGGCCATAGACTGAGGAAGTCCTCTGGATGGGGGAAAAAACGTTTCTCCCTTAAAGAAACTGGTCCAGATGACATGATTTAACCTTTTTTGATGATTAAGAACATTTCTTCATCCTCAAGCTGTCTGAGACATGCTGTAATTCAATTCAAGGTGGTGCACCGGCTGCACTGATCCAAAGACAAGCTGTCCAAGATCAAAGACAATCTGGATCCTGCATGTAATCATTGTAAACAAACTCCAGCTACACTTTTGTACACATTCTGAACTTGTTCCAAACTGTGGACCTATTGGCAATCTATTTTTGACACCTTCTCTGGGATATGTAGCTAAACTGTACACTCATCATCACTCATCTCACTTTGTGGGGTGGTCCCTGTAGATATGTCCTTTAGCAAGTACAAGAAGGATGTGATTGCTATTGGCTCTCTTCTGGCCAGTAGGCTCATTTTGTGCATTTAGAAGGACCCACATCCCCCAGCATATGAACATTGGATAAGGGAAGTCCTATATCAAATTCATCTGGAAAAATCAGATATACCCTGAAAGGTTCTGCAAAAACATTCTGGGACACCTGGCAGCCTTTTGTGTCATATGTTGAAAATATGTAAATACCTGTATAAAAACATATGTATGAGTGGCTGCTGGTGTGGGTGGGGAAGGACAGGGAAGGGCAAGAGGGTTTCTTTTTTCTGTTCTCTGTTCTGTTGTGTTTGTGTTAAAAAAATTAATAAGAAAAGACTTTGATAAAAAAAATAAAAGCAATTTACCCCCTGAACTGTTGCTCTCTGCCATTTCTCTTTCGTGATTGGCTAACAGCGAACATGTCTGATTCCCATTGGCTTCCTCTTGCTCACTGTGATTGACCCATGGATAAGCAGTAGCATAGACCTGCGCTGTATTTGGGCTCAGCTGGTTGTCTGTCTCACAGAGTCCCGCCCCCAGAAGATGTTGCTCCACCCCCAGCTGAAGCTCTGAAAAGAGAAGAGCGCCTCTAGTGGAGAGACACTGAAACTACAGGCACATTGCTGCACAGCAGAAATACCTCTTGGAAAGGAAAATTAAAGGTAATTTAAAAAGGAGAAAACTAAAAATAACATGCCTTAAACAGATAAACCAAACTAAAAGATTAAAACAGGAGGAAAAATAAGTCCAGCTGTAGATTTACTCAACAGTTTAGGCTTCTTGTTTAGACCACTGACAGGCAAAATTGTTGGCACCATTACGGTGCTTCATTTCTAGTGAAAGCTGACATCTACATGTCATTAGTATGCAACAGAGTAAACTATAAATCTTAAAAATTAAAGAGTAGTTTGTTCCTTTTTTGTCTTATTTATTTTTTAGAACTATACTAAATTAGTATGGACAGTACTCTTGGTACCCTTAAATAGATTATTCATCTTATCATTTTAGTCAAGTTTCAAACTGTGTTTTTATTAATTAGTGTTAAAGGTGCCTTAAAGCTTTTCATCAGACATTCAGCCTATTATAGGGAACAAACATGCCACTGGTGTTACTGGTGTTGAGTTGGCCAATGATCATGAAGCAAAGAAAACAAAGGCCATCAGTCTGAGCAGCTCAGAGAAAAGATCATAGATGTCTACAATAAAGGTGAAGACTACAAGACTATCTCTAAACAGCTTCATGTTCCTTTGACCACAGCTGACAAGATTATTAAAAAGTACAAGATTAATATGACTTTGGCCAAGATGTGGATACAAGACAAAATGCAACCCAATGTTGCTCAGAGTATGAATGGTAGACAAATAACCAAAGAATGATGAACTCTAAGGTACGTCACTTTCTGATTGCATTTTGAGTCGTAATGGGGTCCATGGGACCAGGGAGGACAAGGATTTTGACAAAATGCATAATGACAAGAATCGATGTTTATAAATCTGATTAGACAAAACTTGAGTTTTTAGGCTTCAGTCACATCAGCTTTTTGTTTAGAGAAGGAAAAATGAAGTTTTCAAAGAAGAGAATGCCATGTGCATGAATTTTGGAGTGGCTTGGTTTTATTTTGGGGGTTCCTTTGCTGCATCGGGCAGAGGGAAACTTAAGTCTGTGCTGGCTACAGGAAAGTCTCAAAACAATCCAGGCATCCTGGAGCAGTGTCAGAAAGCTCTGCTTCAGTTGCAGCTCAGGAGTCCATCAGGGTAATGACCCAAAGCACAGCTACAAACATCAGGAATGGCTGAATATATAAACAAGGTGTGGGATTCTGCTCTGATCAGTTCCCACAGTTAACTCTGATCAGCAGCACCTGAGGATCAACGGCTTGATGAGCGAGGAGCATGAAAGGCTGCAGAGGAGATCCAGTCAGCGCTGGAGCATTACCTGCCAATGATAGTTCTGTTCTGGCCTTTTACTCATTAATTATGTGGTATTTCTCCGAGCCTCCAGTAAATAATCCCTGATCCTCCTGTCCCCTGGATTCTCTTCTGTGGACCTGAAGCGCTCCTGTGCCTCCTCAGCTGCCTCCACACCTTCCTACCACTTGCCTGTCTCCTGTTCAGACGAACACCTTATTGGCCTGGAACCATTTGTAGTTACTTGTATAATGTACCGAATTGTTGCTCTTTCTGTTTATGCATGGAGTTTAAGAACACTGCAGGCAGAGGTAAATGGTTGTAGCTCACATTTTCTTTTATCTTTGATTCTTGTTGAGTTTTGCTTCCATATAAAACCAGGACATTAGTTTGCTTCATCATAAAACAAGTTTTTTTTTTAATTCTTCAAAATGAAAATGCTGCTGTGTGTTCTTGCTGTTCATCAAGAGGCTTTTAGCAACGTCACACGCTCTCGGCTAGAATCGATTTAAAAAGCTTTTATAGTCTTCCCAGAATCCAGTCAGCGCTCTGCATACAGACTTATGTGCAGCCGCCTTCCTTCCTTGTTCTGCTGTTCCTCTCAAAACATGCACCTTCTTGGCACAGTTGGCCATATTTCAGGTCAGAAAGACAGTTTTTATTCTGATAAGCCTCTTCTGACTGTCCTGAAGGAAAGGTTTCTACTTTGCTGAGAGAAGCTTTGTGACAGTTTGATAAATTATTCAGTGATAAAAGCCCTCAGATGAGTGCACTTTGCATTAAAGCTGGGTGAAAGCTGTGCAAAACATCCACAGCAACTATTTGCATCTGGAGTCGGAGAAAAAATATCTTCACTGCAGAGGATTCATGCAGGAATGAATCCGCTCACCTCTGCATTTTTTTTGTCCCTCATTTCAAAGTGAAAAGTGGGAATTGGAAATTGGAAGTCTGTCCATGTTGTGAGAATAACTTTGATAAAGAGTGAGGTACATATTTCTGTTTTGGTGTGTGGCTGCATCTAGGCGTAAGAAAGCTTCTTTTCAACAGTCACCATGATTAAATCCAAGATGGCTGCTGCCACTTAAGTAAATATGTACCTATATATGTGAACCTTGGGAGCTTCAATTCTGATGTGTGGTTACATCTAAGTGTAAGAACGGTCACCATCAAAAATTGGGTAGCCACATCAAACTCCAAGATGGCCACCACTATAAATATATAAACAGGCCACCTTACTTATTTGAAGAAACTATGCTTTCTAGTTTTTATATTACTTAAAATAATATTTGGTACCACAATAAGGCTCCCTTTATATATGCTAATAGTTTATAGATATGTTATTAATTCCTCTATAAAAACTTTATAAATCATTAATTATTGTTTATTGTGCATTAATTAAGGGTGACAGAGACAAAACTGACCAGTTTCTTGCCAAATCTGTTCACCTATATATAATTCATCTGGAGTTGTTATATTAAACATTTCAGACTAAGTTCCTACCTTGTAAGCACAATAAGCATTTGTAAACCTATTTCTTTTGCATATAATATTGTACTTTATCACTGCATGATAAGTATCTACAACTAATATTACATCCTAAAGAAATTAGGTTTACAAATGCTTATTGGGCTCACAAGGTAGTAACTTAGTCTGAAACGTTTAATATAACAACTCTAGATGAAAAAAAATAGTGAGTTTGTTTTGTCTCTCCATCACCCTTAATTAATGCATAATAAACAATTATTAATGATTTATAAAGTGTTTAAAGAGGATTTAATAACGTATCTATAAAGTATTTATTAGCCATCTATAAGGGGAGCCTTATTGTAAAGTGGTACCTAATATTTTCCTCAAATAATTGGGGTGACCAGTTTAGATTAATCCATGGTGACCAAGGCCACCAATGGCCACCCCCTGGCTCCACCACTGCACCTATTGGTGGATAAAACTGCTCCCTCCACACACCAGGACCCATCACCCTGTGCAGCCTCAGACAAGAAAAAGTAAAACCTCCCTCTGCTCTTCTCCACAGTGTAACTTCTTAATATCTCGCACCAAAAACATTCAAGTTTACGTACTTACATTCCCTGTTCTATTCCAGTCCAGAAAAACACTCATCACAAAAACTACAACCATTCACTGTTCAAATCCTCCAGTGATGGGACATCAGCTTGTTTTTAAGGAGTTCATTGTAACAAATCACATTTTTATGATATTCTAACATGTATCTCAAGCACTGTATTAACAGTTAATTCAAGATTAAAGCACTCTTTATTATCCTTGTAAATAAATTAATAATTTATGTAATTAACACATTCCTAAACATTACTTGAATGTATATCATCCGCTTATTTCATGACGGACTCTGACTGAGCTCATATTATGTTGAGAAATATTGCAAATATTTCTGTCAAACCACAGAAATGTAACGTGTGATCTTTTAGTGCTCAGTGTGTGTGTTGTGAATGACCGTCTGCTACTACCACACCAAACTTCAGCTAGTTCCCTGAGGTACAGCCATGTTTGTGCTAACGTCGTTAGCTGTGGCGTCCATCTTGAACTGCACAGACTCCAGCAGTTAGTCAGTGGATGCACATCCAATAATATTTGTTTATTTGAGTTTTATTGAATTTAGTTCAGTCTCATGAGATATTGTGCTAAAAAAACAAACAGAACTGACTCAAACAGTTTAATTTCCAAAGATGTTGCACTTTGAGTATGTTTGCAGGATGCTACTGCGCTACCACCACACCTGTCTTTAGTTCAGTATCTGTCAAACAGGATGTTGGAGACATTTTGTGTTTTATGAGGCCAGTTGGCTGAGGCAGCCATCTTGAATTGAGTTTAGTCCAAAAGAGACTTCTTGTTGTTAACCCAATAAAGACGTTGTTATAAAATGTGTCAAAACTGGTTCATAACATATTTGTTAATACAAGCGAGCACACACTGATACAAAAACATTCTCATCTTTTCGTCTTAAGCATCAAATAATAACATTTTGTTTGGAGGAGACAAGGTGGGACTTTCAGACCAAAGGTCAACGAACCAACTGTCGAGCATGGTGGTGGTTGCATCATGCTGAGGCACTGCTGGACAAAGTGGATGGAATAATGAAGAAGGAGGACTACCTCCAAGTTCTTCATCATCTTAAATCAACCTCAACTAGATGACCCAGTTTGGTCCAACAGAACAATGATCCAAACACATCAGAACCAGTTACTGATAGGAAGAAACAGGCAAACATTAAACTTCTGTAATGGTCTTCTCAATGCCCTGACCATGATGATGATGATAATGATGGTGATGGCGAAGATGATGATGATGATGAAGAAAAAGAAGAAATGAAAAAGAGTATAAGAAGACCATGAAACCCAAGAAGTAGTAGAAGAAGACCAAGAAGAATATAAAAGAAAAATAATAAGAAAAAAGAACAAGGCCATGAAGACAAGAAGAAAAAGACCATGAAGATCAAGAAGAAAAAGGCCATGAAGATCAAGAAGAAGAATAAACGGACCAAGAAGAAGAAGAAGAAAAATAATGAAAAAAGAAAAAGAAGTAGAAGAAGACAGATAGTTTTACCAGAAGCTTGTTGACATAGATAAAAAGTCTGTGGTTCTGGTGTTCAAGGTTCAAGGGTCTTTCTTTGTCGTTCCATCACATGTGGTACATGTGATGGAACAAAATTGTGTAGACAGGGTCCCAGTTGCAACCAACAAAGTATTAAAATGTAAAAGAAAAACGTTCATTGTCTTGGGTTTAACTTGGTTTTAACATTTTAACTTGGTTTTAACATTTTAACTTGGTTTTAACATTTTAACTTGGGTTTAAACGTTGTCTTGGGTGTAACTCACTAAAAGTAATATTTAGTTGGTTCCAACAGTTATCAATAAACCTTTAAAGCCTAAAATCAGACTCCCATGAGCACATGGATCACTACAACTATTTATTATAAATCTAGGTCACGCATGAAACTGACCTGTCAGGGTCCATTTAATGAATTAAAGCTATGATGCATTTTGGGGGATTTGAGGATAAAAGAAAAAAGTGTGGTACCTCGATGGAGTTGAACTGTTTTACAAGGAAATCTAAATAAGTTCATGTTTTTCTGTTGTTTTATCATTGAAGCCATCACCAGCTGGATCTACAGAAAATATTAATAAAACTGAAACTCAGCCACAAAATGCAGAAACTAAAACAAAAAAACAAAACAAAACAAAAAAAACAGAACTTTAATCCATGCAGTGAAAACACAGCTGCAACAGAACCACTCCAGACATCTTGGATTCATTTTATCTTGAATGAAGTGAAACCAGCCTGTGACAAAAAGCTGAAACGTTACTTTAGCTGTTTAAAACTGGAAGACTTTGGCTTCCGTGACTTGTCGGGGTTGTGCCATAACTTGTTTAATTTAAGAAGCTTCTGTTGGTGATGGTCCAGATTCCCAGATTAAAGCTGTTCTTCATTTTAAAGCAGGTTTCTATTTATCTGCGATGCCTTTAATGGCTCTTAGATAACAGAACATCAACAGTCCTCGTCTCGGTGGGAAAATGGTTCGTCCTCTCGTCTTTCATAAATTATGCACGCTTTGCTAAACCGTGTGAGGCTAGGCTAAGTGTCTGTGTTTACCTTTCATGGTTGGAGGGGCGTAGGTGCTCTGCTTCCTCTGAGACACATCGGAGGTCTGCAGGACAAGGACAAGCCAACGTCATGGGACACAAGAAGACAGAGAAGAATCCTTTAAATACTCCAGACTGAGGAAGTTCTTATAAACATGTTGGGGAAATGATTGTTTCATGATGTAGCCATGTTCAAAAGACCCACCACTCCTTGAAGGAATGCATATCACCCGCTGCCTTTCCTGTCATCTTATGATGAGAAATTACTGATTTCCTAACTGATTTTGCTAACAGAGCACTTTGCTGTCAGACTGCAGGCTTACCTGCGGTTCCTAGAGTTTCCAAAAGCAGAATGGGAGGCAGAGCTTTCAGTTATCAGGCTCCTCTCTTGTGGAACCAACTTCCTGTTTCTGTCCGTGAGGCTGACACATTGTCCAGCTTTAAGTCTTTCCTTTTTGATAAATCCTATAGTTAGGGTCAGCTTGGGTTTCCTGAGCTGTCCCATAGTTATGCTGCTATAGGCTTAGACTGCTGGAGGACAAATTCACATTTCTTCACTCTGCTGCTGTCTTTACTTACTCTACTCCACCTGTTTTGTATTTGTAATTATTTATATCTTATTTTTTTTGTCTTTCCTCCTATAGAAAGTTCACCTGGACCTGTCAATCTGCATTTGCTTCTCCTTCCTGTCCTCTCAAACCAGCCGGTGGAAGCAGATGACCACTTGTCCTGAGCCTGGTTCTGCTGGAGGTTTCTTCCTGTTTAAAGGGAGTTTTTCCTTTCCACTGTCTCCTTCGTGCTTGCTCAGGATGGCAGACTGTGATGAAGTGAAGATTCAACATGTCTGCTGCTTCCTTAGATAAAGAACTTTACTAATTGGCTTTTCTATGTATGTAAATGTTTCTGTACATTGCCCTGACACAACTTCTGTTGTGAGTTGCTGTTATATACAGTACTGTCAATAAACTGAAATGAAATTTAATTGAGTTGATTCAAGATGGCTGCCACCATCAACTCAACATAAAACAGCTTCAGCTCATTTCTCAACACAAGATGGTCGTAGTCTAAAACTGTGGTCTGACAGGTGGCGGGTGATAAGCGTTCTTTGAGTCCTGACGGGTGTGAAAGTGTCCGGGGTTCTACCTGCCTGTGTTCTTTAAGAACCCAGCAGGTGAGTGTTACCTGCTCGGTGGTTTTACAGCCGTTCATACAAACCTGCGACTCCCCGCTGGCGTTCTGTTGACCTCCAACATCTGCAGGAGAGAGGAGAGAAGAGACGGCAGCGCTTCAGCGTCACTGTCTGGGTTCACCTGACGCAGAACCTTGTTCTAAACCGCAGCAGGAGTAAACACTGCTGATTGGAGATCGCCTGACCGGGTTCTGCTCGTTTAAATCAGGGCTGTTCAACTAAACTGCTCAGGGGCCAGACGTCCAGCAGTTATTGTCATTAAACAAGTTTGTTTTATGATTTAAAATCTAGTTTTATTTAAACATGAACCCAGTGGAGGGCCGAGCTGAGCTCACCCGTGGGCCTGATTTGGCCCCCGGGCCACCAGTTGAATAGTCCTCGTTCAAAACCTTTCAGAACAGAAACCTGCACTAATTCCACATCTCAGAGACAAAATCATATTTATTTCCTCCTCTTGTTTTTATTAACATTTCTTTCTCTTGTATTTTTTGTTGTTGTCTTCCTTTTTAACTAGTTTTGTGTTTGGGTCAAATGTTTTCCAAGCGTTTTGTGTGAATGTTTATGATGCATTCACACTATTGTGATCCATTTTTCTTCCACACGTTTTTCAGCGTCATTCTCGTCCTGCAGGTTTTAATCTATTTCAACAAATCATAAATCAAAACTTTCAGCTCGTTCAGGACAATCCTGCTATTGATATTGGTGCAACTTTAGCTTTTTGAAATATTTAGCATTTTCTGCCATTTGTTTTCTATAGAAAATGAAACGAGCTCATTTTAGGGGACAGCTGTGGCTGAGTGGTTAGAGCAGTCATCCTCCAATGCAAGAGTTGGGGGTTCAATTCCACCAGCAGTCACATGCTGAAGTGTTCCTGGGCAAGACACTGAACACCTCATTGTCTCTGATGTGTATCCAATGAGTGTATGAATGTGATAAAGCACTGATTACTCTTTGTATAGATCTAGTAGAGTGTTGTGTGGATGGTTAAATGAGGGAAAAGATTGTTTTAAGAGCTTTGAGTATCTTGATAAGATAGAAAGGCACAATTTAAATACAGTCCATTTACAATTTATGTGGTCCTTAAATGTTTACAAACCCATGTGCATGTTAGACTGATTGGTAACTCTAAATTGTTCCTAGGTGTGAGTGAGAGAGTGAATGGTTGTTTGTCTCTGTGTGTCCCTGTGAGCACAGCACAGATTGTGTTGTAAAGAGCTCTGAGTGTCTTGAGAAGATAGCAAGGTGTTATATAAGTACAGTCCATTTATCCTTCACATCTTTAGATCTGTTTACACCTTTTACTGCTCCTTTCACATTTTGTTCTGTTTCAGCTTCTTTCAACTTCCTTGTGCAAATTTAAACTTTTTTCAGCTACTTTCAGCTAATTTCAGCTGTTTTGTGCTCCTTTCTGCTTTATACTGCTAATTACAACATTTTCTGTGATTCTGCTAACATCTTTACGCTAATTTCAGCTTGTTATGCTCTTTTCAGATTCTTTCTGCAAATGTCAGAAATTTCTATTTCAGCTACTATTAAGCTGTTTTTATGCTAAATTTAGCTTTAACAGCTAATTCCTTTTTTTTTTTGCATTTATTTCAACTTTTTTCAGCCTCATTCAGCAAAAGTTTGCTCTTTCCACTTCCTTCTGGTTATTAAAGCTTCTTTCTGCTTTTAGCTACTTTTCAGCTGTTTTCAGCTAATTTTCAGAAGTTTTTTTTTTTGTCAGACAATTTCCACTTTTTGTTCTAATTTCTGCTGCTTTCAGCCTACTTGGCCAAACGTGTTTTTTCTGCTTTCTTCTGCTAATTTAAGCTTGTTCTACCATTTCAACTACCTTTTTAGCATTATTTAGCTAATTTCAGCTGTTTTCAGATCGTTTCAAGTTTTTTTGGTAATTTCTGCTACTTTCAGCTTAGTTATTGATGCTAATTTCAGCTTTTTATGCTCCTTTCAGCTTTTTTATGCTAGTTTCAGCTTTTTCTGCTATTTCAGCTAATATTTAGCTGTTTTATACAAATTTAGCATTTTCAACTAATTCCCCATTGTTTAGCTCATTTCTGCTCTTTTCACCACCTTCTGGTAGATTAAGCTTTGTTCTGCCTTTTCAGCTGCATTTCAGCATTTTTAGCTGATTTCCTAATTTTTGTGCTAATTTCTGCTTATTTATACCTAATTCGGCAAATATTTGTTCTTTCTACTTTCTTCTAACGTAGGCTTGTTCTTCAACTTCAGCTAAAACTCAACATGTTTTTAACTAGTTTCAGTTGTTTTTCAGCAAGTTCTTCTGCAATAAGCATCCACAATGCATTTTCACAGGAAATTCAAATTCTCTTCATTTTATCTCCGTAAACTAATACAGCCTCTTCTTTTTAAATGTTTTTAAGTTTACAGTCAAGAAGGTTCACTTTGTTTCAGTTATGGATCAGTACATCTTAAATTTGATCAAGTCTTTAACGGGTTCTAAAATTATTCAAACTGAATCAAAAGTGAACAAAAGCATACAAGAAATGTCTTCATTTATTAAACAAAAACAAATTTAATTCAATTCAGTTTATTTTTATAGTGCCAAGTCACAACAGAAGTCGTCTCAGGACACTGAACAAACCCAAAATGTTACTGAAAACTGCCTCCAGTTCCTGATCCAGCAGCTCGTAGAACCTCCGTTAACTCTCAGTCGCGCTCTTCTCTAGGACTCTACCAGTTTCTCATGGTTGTGGAGGAGTTTTGTCCCACTCCTCTTTCCATCATTGTTTCAGTTCACAGAGGTTCCTGCTCAGCTCTCTGAAGGTCCCATCACAGAGTTTCAGTCAGGCTCAGGTTCTGGACTTTGCATCATTACAACATGTTGATTATTTTCTCGTTGAGTTGTTCTGGTGTAGATCAGCTGCTGTGATTGGGATCTTTGTCCTGTTGGGCCCAGTTTGGTCCAAACTTGAGCTGTCAGGTGGTTTAACATGTGGCTCCAGAAACCTTTGGCCCACAGAGGAGTTCATGGTCCACTCAGGGACTGCATGGAGCTCAAACCATCAGCCCTCCACCATCAGTCTAATTGTCCTGCCATGACCTTTGATCTGATAACTGAGGCCAGCAGAGTCTGTCAGATGACTGTACAGTCTGACCTTGGGGTGAATTAGCTGGAATGAAACCAGTCAGCTGTCTTAAATGTTTCCACTTGTCAATAATGTTCCTCTCTGTAGATTGACTTAAGTTGTTTGGAAATGACCTTTGACCCTTCCCACAGTTGCTTCTCTAAGGTCATTGCTGATGTCTTTCCACCTGACATTGTGCTAACACACCTGTATGCTTCAGAGCAGCACACTCCTGATTTTATAAAACAGGAGCCACTGCTGATGATCAGTCAATACATTTGATCAGCAGCTGCAGGCTGATGCTGAACTTCCTGTGGAAGCAGCAGATGTGGAGGCAGTTTTTTTAACACACATTTGGTTTAATAAATAAAGATGTAGTTAAACCTGTTGACTGGTTTTGTTAATTTGAGGATAGATCTAAATAACAAATTATGTTATTATAGAAGAACTTGCTTTTGTCTTTAGTCAGTTTCTGAAATGGATCTCAAGTAAATAAAGTTTGTTCAGTGTGAGTATTTTGGAAGTTTTAAACTAAAACCAAGAACAAGAGTTTTAAAAAGCTGAAACATGAATCCAGGAGTTTTCCTGATGTTCTGTAAAATGAGACACTTTAAGAAAATCTCAGCTGTTATTTCAGAGAAAATGGTTTACAAATAAGAGCTTTGGATTTTTTGGGTCTTGTTTGTTTCCAGACTGAGCCTCTTTGTGTTTCCAGCTGCCAGCTGGTTCTGAAGCTGCACGTTGATAAAACCCAGAATCACCACACAGTTAAAAGGAAAGATACATTTCTCTTGAATTCACTCGAGTTGTGAGATCATATTTCTCCTGTTTTAGCTTTTGCTCCCCACCGACATGTTTCAGATCAAACATGTTCATATCAAACAACGATAACACGAGTCAATACAAACTACAATTGATAAATGATCAAAATATATCCCCCTAACCTAAAGACTGAGATCCTGGAAAAAAGCAGCTAAAGTGGGCTTCCTTTGTAGAGTGGCCGGGCTCAGGCTTGGAGACAGGATGGGGGGCTCCATCAACCGGGGGGAGCTTGAAGTAGAGTTGCTGCTCCTCTGCTACGAAAGGGGTCAGATGAGGTGGTTCATCTGATTAGGATGCTGCCCATATGCCTTGTCTTTATCTCCGTATTGTTTCTGGCCTGGGAGCGCCTTGGGGTCCCCCATGAGGAGATGCAAAGTGTCACCAAGGGCAGGAAGTTCTGGCTCTCTGTCCTGAACTTGTTTCCTCTGCAACTCAACTACAGATGAGTTGGGATGAGGTGGGAAATGGAGAAGTCTAAAGGATCAAGGTGCTGTTGGTTTTGCTAAGCAGTGGTTTTGGCCTCGGACCTTTCCCATACAGGCCATTTTTGCCCTTTGACTCTTTCTTATTGTTGAACCATCTTAACTGAGAGAGGTGAGGCTGGACTTCAGATCTTATTATGGGTTCTTCTGAAATACCCTGGACGAGACATCAATGCACTCGGAGCGATTTTTGTAGGCCTCTAAAGGGAAGGTTCACCACTGTTGCATGTTTTCTGTGGTTTTGGATAACAGCTTTAATTAGGAGATTTGTTGATTCTATAGGTCTGGGAGAGAGCAGGCTTGGGTGTGGCAGTGAAACTGAATTCAGCTTTCTTCCCCCAAAAATCACATCCTTTCATCTTCTACCACTTATCTGTAGTTAGGCTGCAGAAGCAACAGGTCTAGGAGAGAAACCCAGACCTCCCACTCTCCAGCAACACTCTCCCTCCACAGGTGAGTGTTGGAACCAACTTGGACCAGTAAGCCCAAAGTTTTACCTTTAGACTTGGCTCCATTCACTACAACTGACCAAAGCAACACGCTCATTACTGAGAAGGAGGCCCCAATTTGCCGATCCTCATGCTACCATCACTCAGGAACAACATGCCCATATACCTAACTCCCCCACTTGAGGCAGACTCCCCCTGACCTGAAGTGGGCATTCAACCTTTTTCCAGATGGGAACCTTGGTCTTGGACATAGAAGAACTGACTCTCATTCCAGCTGCTTCACACTCGGCTGCGAACTACCCCAGCACACATTGAAGTTCTTGGCCTGAAGACACCAGCAGAACCATACCATCCACATAAAGCAGAGACAAGACCCTGAGGTTCTGAAAGCAGACACCCTCCTCTCCAAGACTGCACCTTGAGATCCTGTCCATGAACACCACAAACAGGATTAGAGACTGGGGACAGCCATGGAAGAATCCAAATTTGCACTGGGAATGAGCTCGACTTTGTGCCAAGAAAACAGAAACAGCTCCAGCTTTGAAGCTTTGAGCATGAATCTTGACGTCTTGAACCACTTTGGCTGTGGCAGCTTGGGAAGAGTCGACGGGGGAGAGGACGGTCCCCAGAAACCATCTAATCAACAGCAAACTGGTTGGTCCACTGTAGGAGTGTATACTGCTTAGTGGGGGAACCTGTTTGTTTGTGACTCCTCAGACTGATGAAGCCCTTCAGATGGAGGGAGAAATGTCTCTCAATAAAAAAAGAAACTGTCCAGATGACCTAACTGAACGTTGTTGGATTTTTTACCTGGATGATTGAGCATGAACCTTGAAAGCTCCAGCTTTGGTTATACAAGGGACTGGATAGTTTATTGCTGTCTGAGGCAGTGCAGACTGGCATATCCTGGTGAGCAAAGGGAGCAATTTTATTCACCACCAGGTGCAATGGAGGAGTCAGGGGATGGCTAATGGTGACCTTAGCCACCACTGGCCACCCCTTTTTTCGGCAACCCCATCCATCCATTATCTTTACCCGCTTATTCCATTTTGGGTCACGGGGGTCACTGGTGCCCATGTCCAGCAATCACTGTGCGAAGGGCGGGGGACACCCTGGATGGGTCTCAAGTCCATCACAGGGCCACATAGAGACAAACGAGACAAACAACCATTCACTTTCACTCACACCTAGGGACAATTTTAGAGTTACCAATCAGCCTAACATGCATGTTTTTGATCTGTGGGAGGAAATCGGAGTACCTGGAGAAAACCCACACATGCACGGAGAGAACATGTAAACTCCACCCAGAAAGGCCCCTGGACCGGGGTTTGAACCAGGGACCTACTCGCTGAGAGGCAGCAGCTCTACCAGTTGCGCCACCGTGCTGCCCGGCAACCCCAACCATTTGACAAAACTATACTATACAAAAAAATATAAAAACTAGGAAGTATATTTTCCTCAAACGGTACAGGTGACAGGTTAACGTATAGAAATGGGACAGCCATGTTGGATTTTGACTTGGCAAACCAGTTTTTTAATAATGACCATTTTTACACCTACGCAGCCACACACCAGAATGGAATTCAGCACTTGCGTACTTTTCAAGTCATTGTGCTCACACGGTTAACATTTCTACATATATGGCACCAGCCATGTTGGATTTGCACATGGAAACCCAATTTTTAACAATTTTTTACACCTAAATGCAGCCACACACCAAAATGGAAGTTTGTACCTCACTTACTTTTCAAGTTATTATGATCACAACATGCACAGACGGACAGACAGAGGGTATTTCCAGTTCCCCTCTTCACTTCATGGCAAGGGAAAAAAACTCAGGTAGTAGTTTGTAGCCATTCACAAATTTTGCTAACAACATTTTTTATTTAAGAACACATTGACCATTGATTTGAGAATAGACAATTGAGCAGAACTTGTTTTCTTGTGTAAGTATTTTATTTTACTGGTATTTATGACCTTTAACAAGGTGCGCAATGGGCGGTTATGTGTGCAGTCAGGTTGGTTAATGTTTTTCCTTAATAAATGAAATATTCATTTAAAAACTGCATTTTGTAATAACCCAGGTTATTTTTGTCTATTACTGACATTTGTTTGATGATCTGAAATGTGTAAATGTGACAAGAAAGCAAAAATAGCAGCAATGTGAAACATTATTTGCAGCACTTTAACTTTCTTGTTTCGTACACAAACGGTCAAAGCAGCATCTCAGAAGCAACATACCACCACTGGAACCTGACTCTCCACACCGAACTCCCAGAAAGGACTCGGGCTGATTATTCAATCAGTCAGCTCTCCTGCAGAGGGCTTTATGGGAGCTCAGAGCACCAACACTACGATGGTTCTGGATCCATCAGCGCAGCCTGCGCACCCAGATCATTTTACTCAAAGTAATCTAATAAAACTTCCATTATGGCAGCAGCTCCTCTGCTCCCTGCCCTCCTCCTCCTGTTGGCTCACAATCTGGTTCACATTTTCTCACCTGAACCGGGTCTGTAGATCTGCAGGGTAGCAGGAGTCGGTCTTCTGCGGCGGATCTGAGGAAAAACACATTCTTACTGTTGAAGGTTGCCAAAGATGTGTCAGACAAATATCAAGGTTCTCTTAAAGTAAAAGTGGGTAAAACTTTTCAATCCAGAGGCTTTTACTGACTTAAGGCAAACAAAGGTCCACGCAATGATGTAGAAAATATACTGTTCCTTCCTCTTCATCACCCACCACTACAAAAGGCATGCCTGTTAGCAAAATACCTCATGAACGACTGGGTGGATTTAACGAAAGTGATCATTAGATGTATCTCTATAACAGATTCATTTTTTTTAGAGTGAATTCAGTTAATTAGCCACAGCTAATCAACCATAGCAAACACAAATATCTAATCTGTCATTTTGACAGATATTGAGTGAAACGTTTACTGTCTAAACAAGAATATGACAACTGAACAACCAGCCTAATCATATCTATCTATCTATCTATCTATCTATCTATCTATCTATCTATCTATCTATCTATCTATCTATCTATCTATCTATCTATCTATCTATCTATCTATCTATCTATCTATCTATCTATCTATCTATCTATCTATCTATCTATCTATCT